TCTTACAAAGGAGAAGACACTCATATTTAATATCTAATTCTGGAGGAGATGTATTTCCTGCTTCCCCAGGAAGCATGATTGGTGTGTGACTGCGTGTCGTGACGAGATCACTTGGCGGGGCTGAGGATAAAATGTCGCTTAGGATAATGTGATTGCCCTTAAGGTACAAGGAGGTGAATTATATTCCCTGATTTATAATCTGAAAATTAAAGACTCACTCATTTTCTAATTTAATTCCACCTTCAATGGAACAATGTTCACTCTGAGCCAAATTGGCGAATAATGTTACTAATTCAGATGCAGATGTAATTTCTATTCGGGGGGCTGCGGCGCATGGTGATGAACGAGTCCCGGATGGATCGTTGCCACTCCTATCTCCCCGTCTCGACAATTCCCCAGCAGTTGTGATAATAACCTGAGCAATAAAGGAGGGAGAAGCAGTGCTACCCTGTTCCACTCCTCATACCCCAAGTCATCTGATACTTCATCTAATAGTATTTCTGTCCTTTCCTGTGTCACTCCGTCTTAAAAAGGCAGCTGACATTGCGCTCTTCCACACAGGAAAACAGTCTATGCCGAATGTTATCGATGTAAAACTGCATTAACACGAAGACTCTTAATAACCTGCATAATTACTGCTGCCTTCTGCAATACAAAAAAGTCATTGCAATAAATCTGCTGTTAAAACTTGATTGAATGCAGGGTAAATGTCAAGGTAATTATGAGGCGGTGAGGGTTAAAAGCAACGTTAAATCCTCCCGCAGAGTGGTGACATTCAAGCGAAGCAGGAAGAGATAGCGAGGGAGTCGGGAGGTGAGCGACGGAGAGAGGGCCGAGTTTGTAAATGTATCAACCAATACGAATCCAACACTTCTCACTTGTCACTGCCCTTAAATTTATGGCAGTGCACCATTTGAGATATGACCTCTGTATGACTGGTTTCTTCCTGCACGCTAATGGTTCCATTAAGGACAGAAATCATCATGTAAAACATCATAATGACACAAACACATTCAATCTGCACATGTGAGTGTTGAATTGCAGATTCCTGAATGTAGCTATTTCTATGCTAGCTCACTTGACCTGGCTAGGGAACATTCAACCTCACCACAAAACTCTCTCCAATCCCAAGGTGCAGGAGGTCACCAAATAAACATAAAAGGGGACAAAAGGAAATGTGAACACCTAGTTATTTGCCCGTTTTGCAGCCTACGCGCTATACTGGGGATTAGCGAGGAAGTCTGCTGCCTGCGTTCATTCATCTCAGCGTCAAGCAGCCATACAAGTATTTAGCAGAGGGGCTGGCAGGGGTCAGGTCATTTACTCACCGCTCAGTCTTGGTGAGTAGCTTAAGGGGTCGGGTGACGGGGGGGTTGGCAGCACAGCTGAGAGATTGTGGGTGCTGTGTCGTGTGCCTCCTCTTCAGAGCCTAATGATCTGCCGAGCATAATGACCCCAAGACGACGGGGCCCCTACAAGCCCTGACTAGGCCTCCTCCAGCCCCTGCTCACACTCACTCACTTCAGAAATAATGTGAAAGAAAGGCTTTTTTTTTCCTTGCCGTTTTGTTCTCCCCCTCTGCTATCAACCCAAAGCCACTGTACAAGCCAAGGCTCTATGACAAAAAGCCAATAGAGTTAGCTGCCAAGGCTTGGAGCTCTGAGAGGGATAACTGGCGCAGAAGGTTAAAGCAACAATGTGCTCAGCCCCATTGAGCTGAGTCTTCTGTGTTGCTGCTGAATGTGTGTGTGTGTGTGTGTGTGTGTGTGTGTGTGTGTGTGTGTGTGTGTGTGTGTGTGTGTGTGTGTGTGTGTGTGTGTGTGTGTGTGTGTGTGTGTGTGTGTGTGTGTGTGTGTGTTGTGTGTGTGTGTGTGTGTGTGTGTGTGTGTGTGTGTGTGTGTGTGTGTGGTGTGTGTGTGTGTGTGTGTGTGTGTGTGTGTGTGTGTGTGTGTGTGTGTGTGTGTGTGTGTGTGTGTGTGTGTGTGTTTGTGTGTGTGGTGTGTGTGTGTGTGTGTGTGTGTGTGTGTGTGTGTGTGTGTGTGTGTGTGTGTGTGTGTGTGTGTGTGTGTGTGTGTGTGTGTGTGTGTGTGTGTGTTGCTCAAACTCAGTGTGAATATGAGGTGTCAAGGGTTGTTAAAATGTATATGCTCTGATGCATCTCAAAGAACACCTGTTCACTTGTGTTTTCTGCAGCTACCCAAATAATGAGGACCTCATTTGATTTCAATCAAACCTTAGTTATGACTTTTAGAGTTTAGGAGTAACTCAATGCATGCATTGTGTAGAATTAAAAAAGGTGAAGGGTAAAGCACACACACAGGCTTTGTAATTGCCTCAGTAGAAATGCTAATTTTATGCTTTTTTCATTTTGAAATGGTGAATAAAATGCGGCCATTTGACAGACTGAAGTGAAAAGCAAATGTCTGGATTTTCAGATTACAAATGGCTTTCTCTCGCAGGTAACAATTTCAAGGCTACTGCCTTTCCAGGGAAGGGACACAGCTAAATGAAAGGTGTGATATCCCCTCTCTGCAAACCATAATGGTGCCTTGTTTGAAAATGACAGGTGTACGAATGAGGCCCTCTCTTTTCCTAAGTACGGCAAAGCGTGGTCATTCACTCTGCTTTGTTTTTAGCGTAATAGCCCCATTTACAAAATGTCGGTGAAATTAATGTGGGACAAACGCGGCGGTAACCGAGCCAACTAATTTTTGCTCATTCAACTTGAATTATTAATAGGTGAGAAATATACCATATGCTTTCAGAGGAACGGCATACATTCATTTTATACAGAATTGCTGCTGTTTTGTGAAAAGTATAAGTAGCTTAACTGCTCTTTTCAAAAGGGGTGACTTATATGGAGGCCTTAATGATGTATAAATCAGCCCGTGTAATTACGCTCCCAGCTGCTGCCTTGAGCCGGGCTGAAACTATAGGCCCTCAGCAACAAGACTGGAGCCTTCATCACCTGAATCCCTTTTAATCAAGCAGCACTAGTTTTCTCTCTTCAGATCACATTATTATGAGTTATGAGAGAGAGGGTGTGGGGAGAGACAGAGCGAGTGTATAGAGTGTACAGAGCTGTATGCACTTATATGTGTGAGTGCATTATTATATAAGTGTGTGTGGAAGTGTGTGCGTGGTTTAACTGTGCCTATATGTGTGAATCTGTCAAATGTATCAGTTTTTTTCTATACTACTACAAGCAACCTTTTGTACATATTTCCTCTGTCCGAAAAATATAAAAGAACAAGTTGATTGAAAAACAACATATATCAGTGCTGGTAACTTGATATTCTGTCACTTACTCTAACGCTTCATCACTCTGCTTGCATGCACAGTGTGGTCATTACAGGTTTAGTGTAGGATTTAGCTGAGAAGTACCACCATGTGGTTTTGTCTTGGTGAAGAGATGGGGCACCACCTAGTGCACACTCACAGCCACAGCTTCCTTTCACTGACATTTGTTTTACATTTAAACACAATATATTAAATATAGATAAAGATACCTGCGACAACTTCAGCTCTCACTTTTTGACTGTAGTAAAATGTTGTTTTGGAGATTGTTGCTTTGATGTGAGCCTTTTCCCTCTTTGTGCTGTGCCTTTGCTATAGATGATGGAGTGGGTTTTATATGTATATTTAAGAAAAGAAACCCTCATAAATGAGCTACTTCTTCGTCTCCCCACCTGAAATTCAAAAGTGGAGAAAGGGCTTTAATTGGGAATTGGGCATTTAGTGAACTAATGTTTAACAATTAGATTAGGAAACAATGTGGAAGCGGTCGTGATGTTCAGGAATACAGTATGTTTGATGTCTTTGTTTGCATGACGTTCTTTCTTTGAAAAGCCATATTCTTTGCATATACATGTACTGTGCAAGCTCCATTTGTTTGGCAAAGAAGGAGAGAGAAAGATGCAAAGCACTGTGGTCACAATGGCATGGAATAAATGGCACTGGAGAACAACAAAGGCCAGCCAATGACTAACTGTAAATGTACAACAATGTGTTTTTGAATCATCCCCTTTCCGGGAATAAGGTTAGGTAAATGTTATTTTAATTTGAAATGTGGAGACTGGAAATCTTTCAGTAACCTTTTGTTGTGTGTCACGCTGCATCAGTTATCATTTACATGTGTACCTTGTTCTGAGGTCAGATTAGTCTAGTTCATGCAAATCATTTCTTTATAACCACGACACATATTGACTCATTGTTCTAGTGATTGGAAACAATGTTTGAGTCAACGAGTAAATATCAAGAAACGTATGAGCACGCTGAGTTTGAACAATTATTTGCGACTTACAAGTGTCCATCTTAACAACTCCAACAGGCCTATTTACATATAATTCAGGATTTATATTCAATTATTTACTTATTTGGAGGAAGTAAACTATTTAATATTAATAAACACACAACCACAAAATCTACCACAAGGCTAACTAATGATAAATAGCATCCACACGTGTCCCTTTCCTTAAAAATACGGATGTTTGTAACAAAGGTGGACATCGTAGTAATGAGCAGAGTGAAACCATATTGGGATTAATGAACGAGCGCCTCCTTGTTAATTGTCACATCAAACAAACAGGTCCTAATTGGCAAAGGTTCCAGCTTGGTGCTAAGTGTGTGTGAGGCGCAGAGTGGGCGCTGCCTCTAGATCGCTCTCTTTGTCTGCTTTCATTAGTTGGTCAAGCCCCTACATTAAGAAGCCCACAGTGGAGTCGTGTTTTCTTTGGTGGGTAATGAAACACACACCTGCTACTCTCAGCCAATGAATAGAAACTTGAATCTAATATCACCGTCATGTGGCTTCTATTAGTGTTCACAATGCCTGTGTTTTGTGTTGATTTTATGTTCGCCTGTGTTGCAGTGTGCAGGCTTATTTCTCAATTTTTGCAGCAGTTTTAAGAAAATAAAAAGCGGAAATGAGAGATTTATAGTTATAGAGGAGAATGAAAGAGCAACCAGGAATGGAAAAGATTTGAAGGGATGAAACTTACTTTCAAGCCGAGAGGTCAGTCTTGGGTTCAACTTCTCTCACAATCTGCAGAGTATCCTCGGTGGCCTGCAGCTGCCTGAGGGAAAATAACATTGAAACAAACCATGAGTCATATTTAAGATTTCACATCAGATACATTCTTTAATTTATAAATTAAACTATTAAATTATAGTCATTGATTGTGGTATACAACTGCAAGAAGATGGCACAATCAGGTTTTTTTTTTTTAAAGGGAAAAAAAGGATATTTGAATATGTCTTCAAATACTCTGAAATGTAGTGAACTGGTGATAAACTATTAAAATTAGATTACTTACATTTACTTTGTCAATCTCTATACATGCACACACTCACAAGCAAACACACACACAAACATGCTGCTCCATCTTGAAATGCTAATTTATGATTAGCATCATTATGCAGAGGTGTAATTTCACAAAAGCCTTCCCACAGTGGTGCACAAAAGACTCATTCACCGCCAGAGCTGCTCTGTGTGGGGAAGAATTATGGCACGCAGATGAATTCATTCATGTGGGAAAGGATTTATTCGATAATTATAGACCTTCACAGTTTTAATGCCACTTAATGAGGAGCTTGCATAGTGTGATTCCTACTTGGCCTGACGAATGAATGTTGGTTTTTATTCTGGTGGTTTTTGTTTTGCTCTCTGCAACATCTGTTAGCCTTTCTATGCTGAGAGCTAGCAGAGGCAGTGCTTGTGGGGTCCGATTTTCCTCTCTATGGATTCGACAATAAGTTACATTAAGTACACAATTAACTAAGAGCCTGGTGGTCAGTCATATCAATATTATAATAACAGTAGTAATACAAAAATAAATACCACTACTCCCATTCTACATAGATTACTATCATATACACTTAGTATTCTAAAAGTAATTATTACTTTTTTTTTTACATAATTAAAAGAACAATTTTACAAAAAGAACGTTGTTAATTTACACCTGACATTATGTGCTTTGTTTATTTCTGGTAGCAGCTGGTGATAAACTCAGACTCATGCATCACCCAGTTCAAGGCCGTCGCTCTGACAGCAATGTTTACCATAACGCCAGTCTTAATGCCTCATAGCCATGTTGTTGTGAAGAGGTAATTAAGTTGCCAAAGTTTAATTGCTCAATCACCGGCAGTTAACAAAGAGGCGTCATCGGCCCCCCTATACTTTCCACGTACTATATTTATAATGGCTAACAATTACAGCAAGGGCCCTTTAGCTGGGGTAGCACTAGTAAAAGCTGCTGGCACTAATGAAAAGCTATAATCACTCCACCCACAGCAGTTATTAGTAGCAAATTATGGGTCAGTTGAAGGGCTCGCAGTTATATGCATTAAGATAAATAACGCTGCTGCTTGTGGCAAGTGCAGCAAATGAATGAGTAGCATATGTACCTCTACTTCTAACCATAATTCGTTCTATGACTTTTATTCTTAGGTGTTTTCAAAAGTGTCACTTTATTTAAACAGATCAAGTTTTGTGCTGTTTTTAACATGAACAACATTTTTGTACAGGTTGCGTTAGCTGGAACAAAACTATAGAGATACTCTTAGTCACGTTTGACTGCTGCAGATAAAACAAAACTATATATATATAAATATAAATATAATCAAATATTGTATATATTATATAAATACATATATGATAAAGGTAACATGAATTCTTTATTCACGTTGGCCCAGTTTTTAACCATTAAAAAATAGTTTAATCGACCATCGCACACCAACCCATTTTGTCGAGCACTTTCTCAGTCTTGATGGCCATGCTTGCAGATCAATGCTTTTCTTTTGCAGCCGAACTATGCTTCACAAACTCTCTAATTGCAGCATTGCTATGCAGAGTGGACTATCACCCCTTTCTCCATATCGCCCCCTCATCCCATCTATTCCTTTCTCTCCTTGTCTTGCTGTCAGTCTCTCTCTCTGCCTTTCTGCCTCGCCCTGTTCGGTTGCTCGGCCAGGCCCGCTGGAATGCTGCATCTCTTTGATCACGTCTTCATTATCGGTGACTCTGTGATACTCGGCTGTCTGAGGCTATGGGGGCTATCTGAGGGAGAAGCGTGGCCTCCATGTGCAAGAGGCCTCTCCACACAAGACTGAACAATTGCCAGGCATCCCGCCCCCATTAATGAGAAGCATCCCCATCCACTGCGGTCCCCAGGCAGGCTCCACCAGGTGGAATGCTCGGCCCCTGTCACTCACAGCATTGCTGAGGGCTATTAGCAATTCATTAAGTGACGGACTGACCGCCTAGCTGTATCAATTAGGAGATAGTTGATATGTCTGTTATTGTCAGCCTCTGCTTGAGATTGCGCTGCTATTCATTCAATGTCTGCTTTTGGTTTTGTGTCGAGGAAGAACTGATGCATTTGTAGTTTCTGTGTGCTTGTGTGTGGTCTGGGCAATGGCAATGGTGGTCAATAAGCTTAAGATTATAAAGACTCAACTAATGAAAGGATACATACTGATCAACATATTGGAACACATTAATCTCTTTGCAGCATCGATTAAATACATGTATTAATATTTTTAAAACAAAGAACAGTTTTTGGTTTTGGTTCCTGAAGTTATCACAAAAAAAGGAAAAAAGGAAAATTGTTGCCATCTGGAGGTAAAATTAAGTATTGTCAGAATCAAATGTATTTGACATATAACGAACATCAGTTACTTTTGATGCAGGTAAACTATAGTTACAGTTTAATCTCAAACTGCCTTTGTTTTATTAAATTCAAAACTCTCTCTCTGTAACTGTCATTTCAGGTAAACAGGTAGTTTGGGCTTTCCATAGGACCAACTGGCAACCGAAGGGCAGTAAATCGGTTATTTTATGTATTCATGAATGAACAGGAACAAGAAATAAACAGCAAGTATGCCCACATCTAAAGCAATTACTGTTAATATTTTAACAAGGTGTAATACAGTATAAATAAAATTTGTTTAACAGCCAACATGCTTGTTAGCCTGGCTAATATATAAAATGTCCCCAAAGAGTTGACCGTTGTTTGGCATCAGCTAGGCAAATCTCAGGCAAATTCCCCTTGTTGTTCAAAAACTCTATTCCTCATTTCACAATATGCTTTGAGATAAGAGCATCCTTCTTTGCATGGATATCTGATCAGTCCATATGTAGATTCAAACTGAGATGACCTCCATCACTCTTGTCACATAATAAAGAAGCGCTCTATGAAAAAAAAGGATACAAGCGTTGAAAGTAGCCGTGCACATGTATATTGACACACCTAGGCCTTATTTGCATTAAAAACAGCGGTAGTCAGAGTTGACATCCCCTCCCTTTTATTCTCCTTTATGTGACATTCAGCTTTGGCTGTGCTTTCAGTGTCACACCAAACATGCCTGTGACTTTGCATGCTGAACTTAGGCTTATGTTACATTTGCTAAACGGCTAAAAGTAATGGCGTTAAACTTGGAATATAGGATATGTGCTGTATGTTATGTTAAATTATTTCTTATCTATATTCTTGATTTTGTGTTTCCTTTGCCCCCTGGCTGATTTAAAAATTGCTCCACATGTTAAATACATTTGTAATTTAAATGTTAAGTGTGAACACCTGTCCCCATAAAAAAAATCAAGTTCAACTATCTTTGTTATTTAATGCATGGAAAGCAGCCATTATCAATCTACTGGTAAAATATACTTGTAAATCTTGTGAGTGTACATTAAAATAAATAATAGTAGTAATAGTAACATGTTTAAAGGTTAAAAATAGTTATACAATCCTTTGCAATCCAAAAAAAGTATGCAGATACAGCATGTCATACCTCATTGGGTTCAGTCTGCAGTGTAAAACCACTTGGGTAGGTGACAGCAGAACACAATCAAAAACTGCATTCTGATCAGAACGATAAAGGAAAAAGCAACAAAAGACATGCTGATGATAATAATGCCAATTATCACATTTTGCTCAGGGGTCAGAGGCAGCAGCATTAAACCAAGTCACCATTACATGATGAATGGCTGAACAAAACTCTTTTCTCTCCTGTGAAATTGTTTGGAGGCCATTAGCAATGCAGTGTAATGCCAATGATTGACGTTGCTGTCTACTTAGCATTGACAAGAGATGTGTGTGTGTATGGGGAGGGGTTAGAAGGCTGCTGGGGGGGGGGGGGCAGTGCAGGGGATTGATCGGGGTCTGCGTTGTTGCCAAACGGGGGGCGAGGGTGTATTGGCGCGTAGACAATGAGCCTCGGCCAGCGCTGAAAGGCCCATTCTGCGGATCCCTGTTAGCTGTCTATTATCCACGGTCTCCAGGGGGCTGCTAAATAGAGGGCATGTGTTAGGCAGACATTTATCATGTAATTACAGCACTAGGATCCGTTTCTGATGGTGTGTGATGATTACTAATAATTACTGTGCATTTCACGCCTCCAAAGGGCCCAGATGGGGTCCCAGGGCGTCAATACAATGGAAGGGAGGAGGGCAGGGGGAAAAAAGAGGGAGGAAAATGTAAGGAAATAGAAAGACAGATGAAGAGAAAGTGAGGAGCGATAGTGTCTCGCCGTAACCATTTAGAGGTGCTCATTAGCTAAATGAATTGAACCATATGTGTCCAATTCCTAATTAACTGCACGAATGAAAAAAGAGCAAAGGAAAATAAAGGAAGGGAAACAAAACAAATTGAACACACATATTTATTATTGTGATTGTTTTACACAGCACTAGACTTTTTTTATCCACTTTAAAATGTTCCACCTAAATATGCATGTATATGTATATGCTGAATCTTTACATACAGAAAAGCCCAGGAAATAGGGAATATAGTCCTTTTCAAATGCCAGAAGACAAGTATGCCTTTATGTTTTTATAGGGTAAAGATTGTGAGATCTCTAGAAATGTACAAGAAATCCAATCAAACAGTAAACTAAGCAACAAAAGTAGAGGTAACAACACAGTTTGATATGTGCTTTCCAGTAGGCGCCCACCTATAACCGTGTCGCTTTGTTTCATAAGCAGTATACACATTTACACTGCAAAAAAATAATAGCAAGGTTTCCTGTGGCTTGATTTGTGGTACCATGACTGATATACAAAAAGGTACTCAAAATG